CACATACATTTTAGAGATATTTGCAGTTATTTGAGAGTAAAACTATGTAGATTAAAGATTGAAAAATAGTAAATAATTATTTTGCTGTAATTTCATAATATCAGTTATTTTACAGATTTTCTTTGTTTTGCTAAATTACAGATAATATCGAGTAAAATCATATAAATAAACATTCATTTACATGCTGACTGTAAAAACAAAACGGAATCAAAAACTATGAAAATGCCTACATCAGAAATCTGTATTTTTTTAAATGCACATTGTGAATGAAATAAATTGTAAAAAATACTGATTTTTCTTTTTGCTGATTTAAATGTAGTAAAATAAAAAAAAAATTTTAAGTGTAAATTTACAGTCACATGTAGTAAATCAACAAATTGCTATTTACAGAAAAACAGATTTTTATATGGACATTTTGTATTTCACTGTTTGTTTATGGTTAACTAGTAAATTAAAACATTTTTTCTGTGATTTTACTGATTTTTATTAGTAATTTAACAAAATAAGGAAAAATCTGTAAAATAAAAGCAACTTGTTCAAGATATTACAGTTAAAATCTGTCAGAAAAACGACGTATCCGACATAAAAACAGGACACTCAGCCGGTCAGTTCTTAATTCTTTAATAATATATTACATTTATGCCGTAATACAATAATAATAATAATAATAATAACAACAGTAATAACATTAATAATAAACATACACAGAAAGTACAAAATGATTTGTGTCATTTTCTTAAGTTACCAACACGAAGTACTGAAAATAAAAGAAACCCTTTAGCTGCTTCTCGCTCCTCCTGCAGAGAACTCCGTTTCCCATGACCCCCCGTCCGCCGCCGCCGCCGCGAACAGAACAAGAACTACGAGTGGAAGCCGCGCCCGTCCGTCCGCCGGGCGAAGGTCTCCCAGAGTTCCAGAGGAGCCGAGAGCAGGCCGCCGTCTCGGATATGGCTTTATGGGGCTTCCAGGTGAGTTCGGTCCGACGTGTGCGTGACGAGGTGTGACGGAGACACGCACAGGTGACATGTTGAATAAAAACAGGAAGTGAGGGTGGTCCTGAAGAGATGCTGCCATCATGAGAGCAGGTCCATGCGTCGCTGCCAGTCACACGTTACAGTACAGAAACCGTCCGGCCGGAGGAGCTTCTGGGAGCTAAAAGTCTCAGTTTGTGTCCCAGAGGTGAAGCTCGGGGGGTCAGTCCAAGTCTCCCCCTCGCCTCCCCCACTCTACTTGCGGTGCTTCATCTCCTTGTCGTGGTGGCTCTTCCCTCCGCCCTCGCCCTTGTCCAGCATCTTGATGGCCTCCATCAGGTAGCTCTGGAAGGCGGAGAGCGCCGCGCAGATGGCCGGGGTGCCGAAGCCGTGGGTGAGGAGGCTGAAGTGGGTGAGGCTGCCCTGGACGCCGGGCTCCAGGCAGGGGGTCGGCCGGCTGCCGCCCAGCGGGGAGCGGTCCTGGGACATCAGGTCCACGAACTCCTTACAGATCTCCCTGAAGGAACCGTCACAACCACAAATGCTCCATTAACTTCAGAACAGGTGCTTCGATTCAAAGGCTCAGAATCAGCAGAGAAAAGACGAGATGATAAAAAATATAAACACGAGTAGAAAAGTGTGAGCATGGAATTTAACAATGTGCATTAGACAAGAAAAATATAAGTATGAAGAGTTATAATTGTGTTACTACACATTATTGAGGGTGAATCCAAGTTACTTTTATTTTGAAAAACTTGGTCTTAACCTTCACTAAAACCTGAAACATTCACCAAAGTAAAACACTGATTCTGACACTTTGAGCACAAACTCAGGCTGCAGACAAACCTGTGATGAAATATCAACTAGTTTTTTCCCCTCATATGTAACAGTTCACATGAGACAGACCGTGGACTAAACGTTAGTATTTGACAATCAGATTATTTGGGAGTTTAAAGTTCTTCAATCAAAGGTATTTCTGTGTTTTCTGCTCTTGTTGCATTTTTCCTAGAAACATAACATGTAGCTGTAGATGCACCATCCAGCAGTTCTTCAGTAAACATTCATGTATAAATTAAAAATGACATTTATTGAAATTTAACAGTTATCGCTAAAAAACATAATTTGTAAGTGTGAGATCAAAAACTCCTAAATATTGGTCTGTTAGTCCAGCAACCTTCAGCCAAACTTAAGGAATGTTCGGGGAATGTTTCACATACGTTCTCTTAATGTTTCTAAACGTAATTTTTTTTTAGGGAACCTTGAGGCAATGTTTGGTCGGGTAGACCCTGAACGTTCTCTGAAGGTTCAGTGAACAGTAACCTTCCGATGTATGTTTGTGGAATGTTCCTTGGACATTCCTCAAAGGTTTCCAAACAGTAACCTTCAAGGGAACGTTCCCTAGACGGTCTTTAAAGGCTCAATTGACAGCAACCTTTAGGGAACCTGAAGTGAATATTTAGGGAATGTTCCCTTGACGTTTTCAGAAGGTTAAATTAACAGTAACCTTCAGGAAACATTGCCTGAGCGTTCACTGAAGCTTCAATAAACAGCAACTTTCAAAGAACCTTAAAGAAAGGAATGTTGAGGGAACATTCTCTGGACATTGCCTGAAGGTTCTCAAATAGTAACTTTGAGGGGATTGTTTTGGGGAATGTTCCCTGGAGATTTGATAAACAGTAACCTCTAGGGAATGTTCTGGGAATGTTTTCTGGATGTTCCCTGAATGTTTATTGAAGCGAAACCTGCAGGGAACCATAAAGGAATGTTTGGGGGATGTTTCCTGGACATTCAGCATCAGTAAGCTTTAGATAACCTTCAGGGAGCGTTCCCTGAAGGTTCCCTGATAAACGTGCTCATAACACTGACAGCACCGGCTTAAAGCGGCTCCAGGCTGGACCAGTACACAGACTGTGTGGAGGAGGTGGACCCACTCACTTGGTGGCCAGCAGCATGCTGCGTCGTGTCGGGAGCTGGTCCGGTTCGCTCTGCCTGCACAGATACTCAGCGGTGGCTCTGGCTGGAAACTCCGTCTCACAAACGTAACCGAAGTCCCGCGCCAGATGGACGGCCTCACCTGGAACAGAACGGGTCAGACTCAGAGCTCACAAACAAACAGAACCGGGCCAGTGAGGCAGGAGGAGCTGCTGCTCAGTTTAGAATTCAATTATCTACTAGTGTGCGACACAGTGGTCGGGCCGGGCCGGGCCGGGCCGGGTCGGGTCGGGGGACGAACTCTGCAGCCGTCTCCTGACTTCCAACCCGCTCGGCGCCGCGGCTCTTCCAGCCCGCGCTGGTGTGTGCGCGCACGCAGCCATGCATGCGGCGGCTGCTCATTGGTGTGCGCTCATGCGTCTCTGTCAGGATGTATGCGGGTCACAGTGCGGCGGCGGCGGCGGCTTACCCTCCACCAGAGATGTTAGCAGAGTGACGTTGGCCGCCTTGCGTCGCCCGGCGGGCAGGTTGAGGCCAATCTTCTCCAGACGCTCTCTCAGACAGCGGCCACCATTCTTTGACTTCGCCCTGAGGGCGGAAACAGAGAGCAGTTTTTAGGAGATGGTCCTTCAGTGTGTGTGTTTGTCTTTATGAGTTTTGCTGTGCTTTGTGTTGTGTGTTGTGTGTGTGTGTGTGTGTGTTGTGTGTTGTGTGTGTGTGTGTTGTGTGTTGTGTGTGTGTGTGTGTTGTGTGTTGTGTGTGTGTGTGTTGTGTGTGTCTGTGTGTGTGTGTGTGGTGGGCGCAGCTGAAGCCTCCCTATGTTCCCTGTCAGCACTGATAGTCTCAGGATTTTCTCTGCTTCTCTTTTTTATCCTCTCTGTTGCTTTACTGTCCCTCGTTTTATTCTCACAGCTCAACTTAAATCCAATCAATCCTGTCCAACCCTGATTCATGAAACAAGCTGTGCTGCTAATTAAAGCACCACAAGAGTTTACATTTTAACATCTCTGGTATTTGAGCTCATTGTTGACCCTGAAAACAGGAAATAAAATTCTCATTACAAAAGATCTACTTTACTTAACCTCCATCTCCTGATGGCTGAAAACTCTGTTATATCTTCTCACTCTTAGCCCCAAAGACATGTCGTTGTCTTTTTAAATATCACCACAATTACACCATTTATGTAAAAACAGAAATAACTCCAGGATTCCGACGGTCCTTGAACTAAACATCTCTGTTGTGCTGTTTCGAATTTCTCCAAATCTAAGCTTTAAAATTTAATACAAAATAAACCATTTGCTCTAAACAGATTCTGGAAAAAAGGAAAAATTCTGCACTCTTTGGCTGAACCATGAAGCCATCAGTGACTCAGCTGTGATCAACAGCGACCTGGAAAAAATTCTGTGAGGTTTCGGCTGAACTGCAGGCAGTGTTTACACCGAACAGAGAGGAGGCAGCTATGGAAGCAGATTAAAACTATAAATAGTAAAACATCTACAGTAAGTAGAGCCACGACTGATTTTTCCAGTGTTGGTATCATCTGTGGACACTCGGAAAAATGTTGGACGTGTTGATTTCAGGGTTTTTTTTTTCCCAAATTAACAATAATAAAAAATGTCTGTTTAAACTGCGTCATTCTGCACAGAAGACGTGTCTGAGTTCTTTCTCCGTCTTCATGGAGCTGCAGGAGTTTATGTTGCAGTAAAAAGTGAACTAACAGTGAAGAAAATGTGGAAAGAAACAGAAAAGAAACGCCCAGAATCTGTTTCACCGCTCAGACGTTCTTCATATAGAAAAATATTTTAAATTCAACATTTTTTTTTTTTGCAATAACATTTAAATTTGAGCTTTTTTTTTTAAATATAAAAACATATGTATAAATATTAACCTACATGCTGCTGGATGTTTTATCTACAGCAATGCATCATATTTCCAAACTGAGCTCATGTTTAATGTGTGAAATTTCCCAAGTAGAAACCGGAGTTAAGGTTTTAATCTGCACAACAGAAGAGTTGAAGCTAAGCCTGTGTGAGGCAGCGCTGTTGTGTTATCGCTGTGGCGGCTGTATCTCTGTGCAGAGGAGGATCGGGGGGTTTTTACTACCCTTTAGATCCTTTAATTATGTCCTCTTAAAGTATTTCAGCCCTGCAACCCAAATCATAAAGTTGTTCTCTCGCCCCGAGGCTGTAGTTCATTAAACCACATCGCTTCTCTTGTGATTTAGTCTCATGACCCATTTTGGGTCCTCAGCCCCGTTGTTAAATTAAAGCAATGTTATTCTGAGAAGCTCCATTGAAAAAAAAAAACGGCAAAAAAATGTTCACATGTACGGAGAACAGGGAGCCTGAGTCATGTGGTTCATAAAATTATATTCAACACAAGGAGCTGATGCTAATCTCAAGCTTAAAGTTGACATTTATAGCGTTTGTAAATGTAAATCGACCAGGATCGTATCAGTAATTACAATTTATGCAGCTAATGTTAAAGCAAAATTAAGAAAAATATCCCCCAAAAAACACTCATTGTGATGTTAAAAAAATCAGTTGCTATGCTGTTTTTTTTTTCTCCACAGAATTACAAACGACATTTCCCATAAATCCGGTTTCCTTCACTTCTAATGAGCATGAATGCCACATTTTTCCTCCTTTCTGAATCTGTGCAGCAGCAGCAGGCCTCAAAAAGTACAATCGATGTTCAATTCAAAATGCAGCGTCGAGGGCTGGAAGTCGTTCCCGAGCTCCCAGGATCCTCTCTGATGGCCTTGTTTTTGATTATTATGCTAAAGATGGCTGCGGGTGGCTGAATCACATCAGGTGCTCGGACCGAGCTCCGGCTATTTCAGTCGCTCCGAGGTCTAATTAATTCCGCCTCTGATGCTTTTACAGTGTTAAATACCAAACTGACGACGCTGAGGCTGAATTTATTCCCCAAATTGTGCAAACTGACTCAGAACGTGGAGCGACGGGGAGACGGCCTGGTGACACCGGAACACGATTTTAGTCGTCTCAGCTGTTCAGGTGTTTGTTCAGGAGGGACACATGTTTTGGTTTTTTGATGGATTTTTTTGAGCGTACAGTGAAGAAAACTGAGACGAGAACGGAAAACGTTTGGCGATCAGACGGTTAAACAGTACGTCTGACCTCCTTTATACAGACAAATGTTTTAGATCTCACATCTGCAGCTTTTGTTTTTGCAGTAACGTTTAAACTGAAGCAGATTTCATGATCGTTTACTGACACACTGCTGGATGCTTTACCTACAACAACGCGTCACATTTCCACGTCTAACACTTGTTTTTTCACCCTTTAATCCTTCTTTACATTTTCTTCTCGTCACTTTTCTACTATTTTGCACTAAAAGTCAGATTCCTCATGTGTGCAAACCTTCCTGCAAATAAAACAGATTCTGATTGAATCTGAGGTTCTGACATCAGATCGTGGCTTTTACGGCTGGTGGTAAATGTTGAATTTGAGTGATTTAAAACCTGAATTTCTCGCGTGTCTTTGGAGAAGCTACACGATCCAGTTTAAATCCGCTTCAGTCAAAGATTTCAGCAACTCGAAAACTCTCCATCTCGTCTCAGTTTGTTTCATTTTGTGACATTTTTAAGGCCTAAAGAGGTCAAAGAAGATTAAAGAAGGTCATGAAGGTTGAAAAGAAAAAAAAGAAAGCTAAATATTTGATGGTGAAACTCTTGATATGATGCCTGTTGTTTCCACACACGGTTCCTGCTGCTACCAGTGAATATAAGTGATGTTCAACGTTCAGGCTCCTGATCCAACTAATATCATCCACTCGAGGCTCCGTCTCAAAGACCGTTCAACCGGAGACACACGTTCCTTCCCTGTTCGACTTAATGACATTTTCGGGGCCTAAAGAGGTCAAATTTTCATTTTTTCCTCCAGAAATAAAGAGACTTAATTGGTATTTTTGCCCTAAACATCTCCGACGTCTAATATGTGGAAACCTCCGTGGCAGGAACACGGAGTCTGAGGTTCTGGAACGATTTTAACTTTAATTTCCACCTCGTGTGTTCACAGGTGTGTTTGCAAACGAACAGAAGTAATTTGCTGCACAAACCTTCCAGCTCATGTCAACTCCAGACTCCTTGTTAAAGATTTTTTGCAGCCAGTTCAACCAAAAAACACGTTTCCTTCTCAGACTGTTTGCGACATTTTCGAGGCCTGAAGACGTCAAACGCGTTGAACTGTTTCTCCTCAAACATCAGAACGAGGCTGAAGAATCTTCCAACGGACTCAAGTTCCACATTTTCTGAACTCAATCCTAATGATTCAGGTTTCTCTTTTGCTTTTTAGTCTTTATGTCATTGCAAATCCACTAAATATGGAGGTACGTGGACCAAAATGAGTCAAACTGATGTCTGTGCACCAGGATCCAGCAGATCTTCACGTTGTTTGTTTAAAGTGATTTTAATGGGGACACCTGGGGCCTAAAGAGGTCAAACTCTCATTTTTCTTCACTGTGGTGAACCTTCTCTATTGATCAGGAGCTAGAATGACAGAACGTCTAACACCTAAAGGTTCCTCCAATCAGTCGACAATCAGGAGGAACATCAGAACAAGGCTGAAGAACCTTCCAGTGGACTCAAGTTTCACATCTTCTGAACTCAGTCCTAATAATGATTCAGGTTCCTGTGTTTCTCTTTTGGTTTTTAGTCTTTCTGTCATTGCAAATCCATTAAATCCGCAGTGAAATCTTCTGAATTGAGAAGATTGGAAGGAGTCAAACTAATGTTTGTGCACCAGGATCCAGTCGATCTTCACGTTGTTTGTTTAAGGTGCTTCTATTGAGGATGTTTTGGGGCCTAAAGAGGTCAAACTCTCATTTTTCCTCTACAAATATACAGATTTTATGAGTGTTTCTGTCATTCACTGTCCCGATTCGACTCCCTACAGTGTGAAGTCAAGCCTCTGGTTCTGGTTTTACCTGCGCAGGACTCCGCCCAGCAGGGAGGCGTTGAGGCACTCGGGCGGAGACAGGCGTCGCTGCACCTCCCCGACCGTCACCTTGTACTTGGAGGTGGAGCTGAGCAGCGACAGGCGGCCCGGCACCGAGCAGAACACCTCGGCCGGGTTGGACACGGCGCCCATCCCCAGGCCCTCCTTCCCAATGGACAGCGCCGACAGGGACGAGCCGTTGAGCTTGGACGGGATGGGAACTGTGGACGGAGTGGAGAGGAATCAGCGGCAGGAACGTGACCCAGAATGAGACAGTTAGGAAGCTGAACGGCAGCAGAAGCCGGCTGGGGAGGTAGAGGCAGGTAAATAATGAATAAAGATGTAAACACATGTCAGCTGCTCCTCCTCCTCATTAATCTATTCAGCGTCATGTTGTCCCTGGCGTCGACAGCTCTAATTCTGGAGCTGCTTGTTGATCCTGTTGTTCAAACTGCAGGTGGTTTCGTTTTAGCTGCGCATTCTCAAATAGCTTCGTTTCACACCTGCGAGAGCTCAATTTGCACTCACTTTTCAGCGCCGCGGTAAACTTTTACTCTTGTTCAGGAGGCAGAAAGGTTCTTCCTCTCGGTTGGAATTCAGGAGAAATGTCAGAACAAGGAAGAAGAAAAATCTTCCAGTGGAGGTCTTTCATTTTATAAACCCAAATCCTGTTAAAGATTCAGGTTTCTTTGTGTTTATCTTTTGTCTTTCAGTCTTTATGTCAGTGAAAATCCACTAAATGTGCAGGAATCCTCTGAATTGAGAAGATTAGGAGGATATTTGTGCACAGGGATGCATTAGATCTGCACCTCGTCTGTTTAAACGGCTTCTGTCGTTTGTATTTTGCAGTTTTTAGGTGTTAAAATCTGAATTTTCTGCTTCGGCACCAGGAAGAAGGAAGTGAATTTTACTTGTTTGGTGCCAAACGACTTGTAAAACAATCCACTCTTGTCTTTGGAAACGATCCTTCCTCCTCACTATTGATAGTTTGGTGGAATTACAGCGAATACAAACAAAAGCTACTGAGACAGAGGCTGTTTGTGGACGACAGTGATGCTTTTGAATGCAGATTTATCAACAATGTGAGCGAAGCTACCTGCACAGCTAAATACCCTCAGAGTTAAATGAGATCAAATGTAAGAGAGACGCATTTCTGTACCTTTATTTGTACATTTTTTGTTCAATTAATGTGCTAATTTGAGTTAATCAAATTGATCTTCCTGCTTTGTTGCCTTTTGTGGATTCTACCAGCCAGACGTGACAGTTTGTCCTTTTAACCTGCTGCTCTGGTTTCAGCTAAAGTGCAAAATGTAGGTTTCGGACTCATTCAGGATTGTACGTGTTGCTTCAGAGTTTTCTGCTGCATCTCAGCAACCGTTTCCTTCAAGGCGAGTGTAGAATAAAAGGAAAGAGCAGTGGGTGTGACGGCGTACTCGTGTTTTAGATTTTACATCTGAGTAAAGCAAACAATTGGAAACTTTAAGTTGATTTTCCATAAAATGAAGTTCCAGAATTGCTTGTTTGTGAGGAATCAAATGATTTCAGCACATGTAGCTTTAACCAGTTGCATTTTTTGGATAAATTTAATTCAGTTGCACATAAAGAAATTTATTTAAATTGCTCCAACGAATCTCTTGTATTTTTTCAGTGCAGAAAGATGACAATAAACAAAGGTAGAGATGAGTGGAGACGAGCTCAAACACTTGTATGTCTTTGCAGAAGCAGGACCTTCGACTCCTGTTAATCCTGTTTATTGTTCCTTCGTCTCTGCAGCGTTCTCTGTTTTTTAAAGGCCTGTATTAAAGCGTACGTTGGGATGTCGTTTCTCCGGCTGTGGCCTCGACACAACATCCCGCTGAGCAGCTCAGATTCCCCAAACTGAGAAAAAAAACCTCTAAAATCCTCTCATTCAGCAGTCGAGGCCTCAGAGTTTCCTCTAAAGCTTCGTCTTTGTCATCTGCTGCTCCTCCTCCTCTTTCTCTCATCATCTTTCCCTCTTTCTTTTTTTTTTTTTGCTTAACTCTTTCTTGTAAGCATCCCTCCTCCTCCTCCTCCTCCTCAGCCTTCCTCGTCTCCTTTCCCCCCTCCTCCTTCTTCCATATTCTGCCTCATTTTTCCCCCCTCCCTGTTGGATTTTCTTATTCATGAGGGCTTTAGGTTCTGCTCTGCTATCTGCTGTAGGAGCCTCGCTGTGGTAATTGATCAATTCTGAGCGTTCGGCAAACAAGTGGAATCACTTCATCAAATGACTGCGAGAGGCGAAGCGTCTCCTCTGGGGATTCGATTTGGAGAATTACATCCTTGTTTTTGCGAAAACTTTACAAGTGAATCAGGATGGAATGAGCAGCGGAGGACGGAGTGTGTTTAAATTACAGCTGAAAAGGAAAAAACGTGCCATTTATCCTGATGATTATGAGCTGGAGCTCAGTCAGTGGCTTCATAACGCAGCAGGTGCCATCTTTAGCTGCTTTCTGCACAAATCTCTCTCTTTTTTTT